CCGCAGCCTTGTATAAGCCGCAGCCTTGTATAACCCGCAGCCTTGTATAAGCCGCAGCCTTGTATAAGCCGCAGCCTTGTATAAGCTGCAGCCTTGTATAACCCGCAGCCTTGTATAAGCCGCAGCTTTGTACAAGCCGCAGCTTTGTACAAGCCGCAGCTTTGTACAAGCCGCAGCCTTGTACAAGCCGCAGCCTTGTATAAGCCGCAGCTTTGTATAAGCCGCAGGATTCAAAGCCTGTGGAAAAAGTAGCGGCTTATAGTCCAGAAATTATGGTACTAGAGTCTGGACACCGTTAATACGATCTCTTTCTTTTTCAGTCTTAAGGGGGGGAAGCACCCTTGAGTTTGTAAAACACAATTCATGTTATAGTCAGAAACAATAAAAAAGTAAAAATATTAAAAACAAAAGTTTTATTTTTTTACTCTTAACAACACAGAGATTTTTATTTATTTTTTTTTGTTTTTTTTAAAAACCATCTTAATTCTGAGGTTTGTCTTGTATAGTGGTCCAAATAAATGTTTTTCTTGTCAAAACTTCAGTTTTAGGATTTACCTGGAGAGCTGGCCATGGAGGCATGGAAGACAGAAAAGTTGATGAGAGCGTAGGAGGCCAGGAAGAAGTTAGAGATGATGGGCGCGATGATGTTCAGCTCAGCTGATCGGACAGAAACAGACACTTTCACCACTAACGTCTTGTTTTTGTTTGTTTCTGACTGAAGGTTTGTTGCATTGCAGCCTACCAATGAGGATAAAGGCGAGGCCAATGCAGAAGGTCAGGACGTAACCACGGAGAGGCTCGTTGTTTTTACCATATCCTTTAGCAAATATAGCCAGTCCTGGATAGATGTTGTCCTTACAGAGAGCCTGGAATCAGAACCATTTTATCAAATTCAAAACAAACACGTTTTTTTTTTTTGACAAATATGGCATTAAATTACAGCTCTGTGAGATATTTACAGTGTAGCAACAGCAACGTGCACTCTGCCCATCTTTTGGATGATGGTATGAACATAATCTCACTGTATCTCGGTACAAAGATAATAAAGCTTATTCTGATTCTGACCTGGAAGACTTTGGGAGCGCTGACCAGTGAAGCCAGAGCTGAGGAGAGAGTGGCTGAGAAAATCCCTGCGGTGATCAGAGGACTGAAGAAAGACACCAGACTCATCACCTGAATGACACACAGAAGAAATGATGAGAAAACAGAACCACTTAAAGCTTATAAAAGTTATATTTCTAAAAATGGCAGAGAGGGAGGACAAAAGATCCTTGCATGTTAGTGACTGAAATAGATCTAAAGAGCTCAAGCATTTGAAAAATAAAAAGCGTAAATAGTTCTGAACGGAAGTGTTGTCTCACTGATGGTTTGGGAAATGGTAAAACTCTATTTACTTATTCTGATTATTCAAACGTTTTAGTCTATGACCTAAAAAATAATAGATCAAAGAGTTACAATCCCCAAAATCCTTCACTATAAGTTTCTTTCGGCTGCTCCATTCTTCAGGGGTTGCCACAGCGAGCAAACTCGTATAAAAGATTTGGCAATTGTTTTTTACACCGGATGCCCTTCCTGACGCAACGTGGGCTTGAACCAGCAACACATTACAAGACTACGTCCTTGACCGCCAAGCTACTGCCGCCCCACTGAACACAAACACTGCAAAAAAAGTAGATGAGAAAAATAACATCACAAATAGTTTATACTCACATTTTACTATATTTTCCCCACGTTTATGACTATTTTTGTCTCCATCGTGTTGTTTTGTTTCCCGCAACTGGATCTCAACCCAAACTTTGAGCACATACATGTCAGAGTCAGAGATTCTTTATTGTCATTCGCACCTCATGTGGTACATGTGGTGGAGCGAAATTATGTACACAGCGTCTCAGTTACATCCAACAATAAAATGTAAAAGAAAAACAATGATAACATGTAAGATGTGAACTAAGAAAAATATCAACTAAAATACACAAAGCACTAATAGCATTAAAACATTACGTCGAACATCAGCACAAACATGAACATGAGTCTGTGTGAGCAGATGAGCACGCATGAACACAGCAACATGAAACAGATCAGCAGCAACATGAAACAGATCAGCAGCAACATGAAACAGATCAGCAGCAACATGAAACATAACATATCAGCAACAACATGAAACAGATCAGCAGCAACATGAAACAGATCAGCAGCAACATGAAACAGATCAGCAGCAACATGAAACAGATCAGCAGCAACATTAAACAGATCAGCAGCAACATGAAACATATCAGCAACAACATGAAACAGATCAGCAGCAACATGAAACAGATCAGCAACAACATAAAACAGATCAGGAGCAACATGAAACAGATCAGCAGCAACATGAAACAGATCAGGAGCAACATGAAACAGATCAGCAACAACATAAAACAGATCAGGAGCATCATGAAACAGATCAGCAGCAACATGAAACAGATCAGCAACAACATAAAACAGATCAGGAGCAACATGAAACAGATCAGGAGCAACATGAAACAGATCAGCAGCAACATGATGTGATTTCTCGCAGTGATTATCCTGGATAGAGATTCATGACTTTAACAACCTCAGGGTAGAAGCTGTTCCTCAGTCTAGTGGTTCTACACTTAATGCTTCTCAACCTCCTTCCTGAAGGGAGTCTCTTACAAAAAAAAAAAAAATAATAATAATAAATGTCTCTTACAAATAAAACAAACTTCTTAATCTAGTGCAAACACTCTGTGTGACGGTCAAGACGTTGTTGATTGTATTAGTGGAATCTTTGAACCCAGCAGTTTGCACAAGTGATGCATCCTCTCCTCTGCCATTTGGTTGTTTATTCAGGAAGGGTCCAACTTGTCCCTAATGATGTTTCTGACTGGACAATAAAAAGATGAGCCAAAGGTAGTATCGCCAACTTGACTCTGTTTTGCCAGAAAATGGACAAATCTTTTGTTACCGTCTCGCTGAACTCTGAGTGTTTGAAACTAAAGTGACCAGCGAGCCGTGCAGATGCATTTTGAGAAACCAGGTTATGGCATGTACTTTGTAATTTTGTGTGCACAGTTTGCAAAACTGTATAATTCATTCAATCTTTATTTCTACAGGTTAGTCTCATTGAGTCACGAGGACTCATTTTCAAGAGAGACCTGTTTTAAACCAAAAAACACAGATAAGGTACTCAACAAACAGTCATAAAAAGCATATAAAATGAAAAGTAAACGAAAGTAGTGATATAAAACAAAATAAAAACAAGCTTTATTATGAAACGAGGTAAACTAGTAAAAACAGGAACGTCTGCATTGATTCTTGTATTGAACTTAATCGTTTAAAATCTCTTAAAAGGTCAAAGTCGACAGCTAATCTGTGCAGATTATTTGTTGCCCATCTCAGCCTGCTTTGTTGGGTGCTGGCCTCATCTGTGATATGATTTAATCTGAAATACATATTTGAAATGAAGACAGGCAGAATTGGATCATTAAAAAAAAAAGAAAAGTTTTTAGACCTGAACATGTTCTCTGTCAGAGGAGAGCTCTCGTACAGGTGTCAAAACACAGATAGGATAGCACAAGTGTGTGTGTGTGTGTGTGTGTGTGTGTGTGTGTGTTCAGTGATATCAGTGTCACAGAGCTGGATGTGAGTGTAGGTAGATGCTGTCAATGCTCTCATTCAGTTCTGAGCAGCAGGAATCTTGTGACTGAAAACAACAGATGCTATTATCTCTGCTGCACTCTGTGTGTCGATGGGAACAGCTCTGTCTCTTTCACACAAACACACACATGCGCACACTCATGCACATCCTCATGGAGAGAAGCAACATTGCTGCAGCAGTCTGACGGGATGCGCACGTGTCAAACGGCCGAGACTGAACTGGCAGGTTTTAATCGAGAACCTTTAGGGAGTTAAAGTGTTACCTTCCATATAGTGTCATTAAGTGTGGTTCATGAATAACGGGGGGGGGGGGGGGGGGGGTTAAAGCTGCCTAATGAGACCCAACTGCTGCGTTTGTGGGTGACTGTGACGTTTGTGGACAGAGTTGTATCTTGACACGGCAGCGCTCAGGCCTCCACAGAAAACAATAGCTGTGGGTGTGTGGAAACACGTCACGCCACCAGTCTGAGCTGGCCTTCATCTAACACACATTCCTGAGCGTTTCTCTGTTTAGAGTCCAATATACACATCACAGAGGTTTATATTTCCTTTTTAATGGATCAGATGTCATTAAGTTGTATGTTTCAGGCAGTTTTAGTCATCTTAAAACACCCGCCCCACTCCAAACCACAACCTGAGCCAGATTCATTCATGCTGTTTTCTTTCTCTAATTCTACTCTTTATATTCCTCTAAATTATTTGTTTTGCACTGACAACATTCAGAGATGAGCCTGAAAAATGTCTTCAGACCCCTACAGCTACACAAACTAATTCTTTGTAAATGTCAAATTATTAAACAAACAGTTTAATTACCAGCTCTTATTATTATTATTGTTTAAAGCTGACAGCCTGGAGTTCATTCAAGAACTGCAGCACGGATGCTCCGCAAGCCGCAAATCCAGACTTTAAACTGAGATTAGATGTTAAAAATAAACTTACGTTTTCTGTTTTAAGCGTGCACGACCTCTGACCTGAGTGCGTTTCCTTACCTGGAAGTCGTTCATCAGGCCGTACTGGCAGCCGCCCTCCTTGCAGATGGTGAAGTCGTATCCGAGCTGGCAGGCGGCGTCAGTGCAGTTCACCGTGTCGCTCACCGTGTCGTTCTGATCTCCGGTGGCGTCCCTCAGGATGCAGGAACCTGCAGGAGAAGAAAGCAGCGCGTAGAAATGAACAAAAGCAGAATCCATTTTCACTGACGATGAGGCCTTACTGCCGTCCTGCTGCTGGGAGTCACTTCACATGATCTTATTTATTTCACGTGCAACTAACAAGAGCTTTAAAATACAAAACTACTCAGTTCAGATTATTAAAAAAAGAGGAAACTTACAGTTTTCCTGATCAGACACTGATATTTGCCTACTCTCACTAAAAATAGCCATTTTGTGTTATAAATGAAAGAGTAAAGAAACGTAACCTAAATTAAAGTTAGATTAAAATACATGTCAGTGAGAACCTGTAGAGACAGCGACAGCCACGTAGGTGACGCCTGTGATGAGGATGGCCAGCAGGGTTCCTTTAGGGATCGCAGACTGCGGGTCCTGATGTTGGACAAACATGAGAAGGATCAGATTTACTGACAAATTCAATCTGTTTATATCAGAAAAAGGCAGTGTCGAAATAAACGGACAAATGTTAGAAACATGATATCTGGTCAGATCGTGGCGGCAGCAGCTTCACTACGTCTCTCTCCACAGCCACTATAAGCTTTTCCAGGTGACTCCACGGCGTACCAAGGCCAGCTGAGAGACATAGTCTCCAGCATGTCCAGGGTCTTCTTCCAGTCAGACATGCCTGGAACACCAAGTGCGTCGGCACCGTTCAGGTAGAGGCCCGGTCACCAAGCGCTCGCTGACAAGCCCCTTTTCTATACGAGGGACATTGAGCTGCTTGTCGTCTTCTGTCCATACGAGTATTCTGGACCAATCTGCCTTTGGAGACTTTACCACGGCCTGTTGGCCCAGACAGCAAAGGTCCTAGGGTCATTCTGATGGACAAACTCCTCTACCACGGTAAGGAGGCGATCAACAGAGACGGAAAATAATCACATAAGCTGGGAATTTATTTTTAAAAATTCCAGTTTAAATCATGAAATGTTTTTAAAAAACAGCCAATTTATTTTGGTTTGGAATTTACAAAAGTCTTTTATGTAACGGAAGTTTTACATATTCGAAATAAACAGTTCTAAGTTTATAAAGTGTGTGAACTTATCGCCGCTTCACAACAGACCTCATCCCTGAAGCAACAGATGCTTATTTGGTATTTGTTGACGTAAACTATTAGGTCTTTCGTCAGTTTGAACTAATTTAGATCAGATAAAATCTGCAGCCATCATATTATACTTAGATATGCTCCACGCTTTAACTGATTACCAACAAAAAACAATGTGTGACTTTATTGTTGTCAGTTTTATAGAAGCATATTGAACAGGGTTCTTTTTAAAATTATAATCAGAGAGTCTCTCATGAGCTGCTTCATTTGATTAATAGATTTCATGGAGGAAAAATGAGTGGGGCTCTAGGACGGAGCCTTGGAGCACATCACAATAAATTGTATTGAACAAGACAAAGCATTAAAAAAATAAAATAAAATCCAGATATCTGTCAGAAAGCTGAAAGAACCATAACCTACAATGAGATCACCGGAGATGTTGGCTCCGGCCAGGATCCCCGTGGCTGCGGGGAAGAAAATGGCAAACACAGAAAAGAACGTCTCCTCTTCTCTGAAATCTGGACCAAAGTTCTCTAGGAAGATGGCAGCTGGAAGAGATGCGGGTCAGAGAAAATCATCAAAACAAACAGAAATATGTGAAGCGACAGTAAGAGTGCTGCCTCACTGTGGTATCCGAAGAATCCTTTGGGCTCTTTATTGTCCGTTGGCATGAAGGTTCCCAAAAAGAAGTTGACAATGGCTGCCAGCAGGATCACCAGGAGGACAATCTGAGCCTGATGGGAGGGGGAGAGGAAGGTTATGATTATAAAATAATCAAATCTGTTTGAAGCTCATTTTAATCTTAAAGTCTGAAAATAAGTAAATAAATAAATATTTAAAAAATGTTAATAAAAAAAGTCAAGTCAGGAATTAGAGTTAATAAATAAAGTAAAACAGCTTTTAAAATATTGTAAAATTAGGCTAGCAGGTAAATTTAGGTTAAACCACTTCTGAAATCACACTATAATTGGTATATTATATTATATATTATATTGCTATAATTAGTTCTGACAAGACTAATTTAGTTGGACTAAATATTTGTGTCCAATAATCCCAACTTTACTTCATCCTAATAAGAGTTGGGATTTTTTATGACCCATTGAAAGCTTCAGACTTGTTAGCATTGATATTTAGCCCAGATCAATAACTTTAGTTGAGATGCTAACAGGTGTTTTGTAATATTCAGGTATACCTTGGCCTCCCACTCCATCCCAGCCACAGAAATCCCCAACAACAGAATGATGGTCAGAGTCCCAACGATTCGGATGTCGTTCAGCTCGTCGGTCATCAGCGCGTCAACATCCTGCAGACAACAAGAAGGTTGATATTAGGCTGAATTCTCAGCAGTCAGAGAGACGTCTGAACGCACCAAAGCACATCTTACGTTCAGCATCTCGACAACGGTCTCAGCAAAACCAACGACGTACATGGCCACAGCCACTGCGTTTGCAAAGGCGAAGATGAGACCGATGGATCCCCCGAATTCAGGACCCAGACTTCTGGAGATCAGGTAGTACGCTCCTCCTGAAAGTTTGTCAAACTCCAGGTCAGCCTCAACAAATGGGGAACTTACAGCCTTTTTGAAGTCTTGGACAGCATTAGTTCCAGATTGTGTTATTATTCTGTAAATAATCTCTAATATAATGTAATCCACAGCAAAGTTGATAAAAAAGGTTCTGAAAACCTAAAAAGGTCGAAGCAAGAAGATCCTGTGATCTTCTGCAGTTTTGACCGATCCACTTGAACTACATGAAATCTCTCTCGACATGCGGTTTGAAGACTTTCCCAGGGGAGCTGCAGAATCAAATTATTCCATTAAAAGCTCCCAGTTTAATAATCTGAAGCTGAGGTTGAAAGAATGACGACTGCACGATTGATGCTTTCTTCTCCAAGAAGTTCATGGGTCATTTTTCCTGACGACTGAGCCCTAAACGAAATAGACTTGTATTTTTAGACTCAACAAATAGTTAACGCACGAGTCGTAATGAAACTGTGTTCATCCATCCATCCATCCATCCATCCATCCATCCATCCAATCTTCTGCTTGTTCCAAAGTCGGGTCTCGGGGGCAGCAGCTTGAGCAGGGAGAACCAACCATCTCTTCCACCTCTTCCAGCTCTTCTGGAAGGACCCCATGACGTTCCCAGACCAACTGAGAGATGTAGTCTCTCCGGCGTGTTCTGGGTCTTCCTCGGGGTCTCCTTCCAGTCGGACATGCTCGAAGCACCTCCCTAGGTAGGCGCCCAGGGAGCATCCTTACCAGATGCCTGAACCACCTCAGCTGGTGGAGGAGCAGTGGTTCTACTCCGAGTCTCTCCTGATAACTGAACTTCTCACCCCATCTCTAAGGGAGAGTCCAGCTACCCTGCGGAGAAAACTCATTTCAACCTCCTGCATCCACGATCTCATTCTTTCGGTCACTACCTAGAGTTCGTGGCCATAGGTGAGTGTAGGAACATAGACTGGCCGGTAAACAGAGAGCTTTTCCTTACAGCTCAGTTCCCTCTTCACCACAACAGACCGGCCCTGAGTCCACAACACTACAGACGCTGCACCAATCTGTCTGCCAATCTCATGCTCCATTCTTCCCCCACTCATGAACAAAACTCCGAGATACTTGAACTCCTCTACTTAAGGCAGAACCTCACCCTCGACCCGAAGAGAGCAATCCACTCTTTACCAACCGAGGACCATGGCCTCAGATTCCCAGCAGCTTCACACTCGGCTGTGAACCGCTCCAGTGAGAGCTGAAGATCATGGCACGATGACGCCAACAGGACCACGTCATCTGCAAAGAGCAGAGATGGAATCCTGAGGCCACCAAACTGGATTCCCTTTCTTCCTCCTGGCTGCACCGAGTAATTCTGTCCATAAGTCATGAACAGACTTAGTGCCAATGAGCAGACCTGGTGGAGTCCAACTCCCACCCTGAAGGTACTGCCAGCAATGCAAACTGTGTGGTCAACTGAAGAACAGCACGTCCAAAATGTTAAACATGATGCTTCTGTACTTTTGTTGTGAACTGTACTTTAAAGAATGTTTAATAATTACAGTTTTCACAGGTTATAATTACCTGGTGAGCTAAAGTGAGGTGTTTAAAATAGGAGTTGTTGTGAATCCGGTAACTGACCTCCTCGTACGAAGCCGTTCGTTGCGATCGCTGAGGTTGACAGGCCGGTGATGGTGGTGACCAGAGTGGCCATGGAAATGATGGCAATAGTGAGCCCTGTTTCCCAAAAGTCAGAAAAACAAGATTGGTTCAGTCTGAGAGACGTTCAAAATCAATAAAATGTAAAATCATCCACGAGCTGGACTTTGTTTGCTGGACTCGAACGTACAGAGACAGAAATATGTTTTTTTTTTTTAAATCTCCACACAGATAAATGCTCGAAGCTCCAACATCATCATATTCATGTTAACTCTAAAAGTCTGAAAGTATAAACCGTTTACTTCTGTGAGATGATCAGGATTATGTTTCTCTCTAGATTAATAATTTGTACCCACCGATCCCAGCCTGTCCAACAATCCAGGACATTCTGATGAAGAGCATCACCCCCCAGATGTTCAGCATGCAGCGCACCTGCAGCGTGCACAGTGAGAACAGCCAAAACTCGAGGCGGTTCAGAAGTTTGAAGAGAAAAAACGTTAATGAAATATATTTTTAACACTAACCAGAACTCCTTTGATCCAACCAAACTTGATGGTCCCTCCTTTCGCCTCCTTGGCCATCAAGGCTGCCGCCTCCTCCGCTGCTGACAGCTCCTCTCCGTTGGCCAGGCCCTCCTCAAAGGGCTCCTGAGGAAACAGAAGAAATGATCAGAAGATACATCAGAAAAATTAAAAAGTAAACTTTGATGGAATCAGTTTTTTAAATTAAAGTAGCAGAAACGAGCTTTCAACTGTTGTTTGTTTTTCGTGCTCCACCTCGACATATTTTGTGACGCTTTAGACATTTATGAAAACCTTCCACCTGTTCAGGAGATGCGTTCTCTGACTTCTGTAACTTTTATACTTTTCAAAATATTAACATAATTTACAAATATTTTCACCGTAGAAACGCATTAATATCACTTCAGTTCCTTCAAAAACATTGTTCTCCTTGCACTCTGCTTCAGGATATATATATATATATATATATATATATATATATATATATTGATGATGATGACGCTGACGATTGACAACTTTGAAATCAGTTTCTTTGAATATCAGCGACCTTTGGCAGCTGATAAACCAGAATAAGCAGGTTTACTTGATCAGGATGAAACTGAGCACAAAATAATTCAAACTAAAAACAAACTCACAGCACAATGTATGACCTCATGCCTCTTGGTGGTCTCATTATGGAAGATTTTTGAGGTTTTGAACTGTGAAGGGATGACGTATTTCCTTTATTTTACCTCAGCCAAATCCATTTCTTAGTTAAATGTCCTTTACTGTAAATGAGAAGCATCCTGCTGAATATACACAATCCCAGATTCTTAAACACAGAAGGTTTGACCTTTTTGACTTTCTGAAGGATTTTCCTGCAGAAATAGAAAATATTATCATGAAGTGGATTTTAGCTCACGTTGTGTTTTGTGTCCTTGTGAGGAGCGAAACGAAACATTAGATGAAATTTTGAAAAAAATAAAAGGAATAAGATCCGCCCTTTGAGAACCATCAGATCCCATAAACGTTCCTAAGATGACCACAGCTGGATCGATGCAGACGACGCTGGTGGAAAAGTGTTTTTGTGGTTCGCCTTATTTACATTGTTCATCGGAGACAGACAAGACTCACAGACGACCGGAGGCGGGAGGAGACTCCTGTGGTTACCTGATGTTTCTCAGAAACATCATCTGGACAGACTATGAAATATATTTACTTTGTGATCGGTCAGTTGGATGAACCGGGTGGAACCACAGAACCGGTCCCAGAACACCAGCTGGTTCAAACCAACAGAGAAGATCTCAGGAGAGCAGTTTAATTTATAATGGATTTGATTTTTCTGCTCGTTGTTTCTGTTTTCATTTTGTTATTTGTTTTTAGTTTAGAATCTGAAAACTTCCATAAAAGGTTTTAGATTTTTGTCTTAATGCATCTTCACCGCTGCCTGATCAGTTGAGTTAAATAGTGATTCTCCAAACTTAATTTAAAGGAAACCTGATTCAACCTGACCAGAGGCCCTTGGAGCTAAGAGGCTTTTGTTGTAAGTGAACAAAAGAAAGATGCATCATCAAAGTCAGTGTCCAGTTGGAGTTAAATAAAGTTTTTAAACCTTTAAACAAGAGACTTTTATCAGAGATGAAATGTAATGACAGCAAAGTGAGGTTTCAAACCAAATCACTTTAACTCAGTGATGTCATCAAATATCAATGTTCTTTTATTCTCTGATTATTTCAAATTAAATCAAACAGAACAATACGATAAGTGGAGCAGATGAAATGATTTAAAGGAAATTTTACAATATATTAAACCAGTCTTTTAAAAAGGCTGGGGTGCTTGATTCTGGGGTCAAAGGTCAAATTAAGCAGTATCCTGTGGAAGGGAAGGGACAAAATGCCTGCACGTGCATGAGTTCAAAGAATGAATTCACTTTTTAGGAAGTCAAAACAGATTCTCTCAGGCTGGACGTTTTGACAAAGAGTATTTTGCATCAAATATTTTTCTTTTCTTTGTTGTGTATTTTGTTTCAGTAAACATAACTAACCAAATAATATTCTAATGAGCATCTTTAAAATTTAGAGCAAGAGGCTTTACGTTTTAGTGTTGGAACTTACAAAACAGCCTAAAAATGCGCAAATGGTCCCGATTGGTGCGCAAATCGGAGGCCTTGTTGCCTTAAAGTGATTTTAAAAGAAAAGTGTGTTTCTTGTTACTTTATCGAGTTCATCGTGGAGCTCCGACAGCGAAGGTCGGGTCAGTTTCTCCCCGAAAGGCGCCGCAGTTTGCCGGTAGAACTCGATGTTGGGCACCGCGTCGATGGTGTTGTGTCCGAAGGTCCGCATGTAGTAGGTGTTGGAGTGGGAGTCCGAGATGTGCGTGTGCCCGGTGCCGGTGGAGTGGAGGCTAACAGAGTCGCTCTTTGTGGCGTCCGGCTCGTGGGAAACATCAGGAGGGGGTCCGATGTCCGCGCCGGAGTCCAAGAAGCCCACCACCCTGAACCGGCCTTTGGCCTCCTCAGGGGGAGCCCTGGACCCATCGGCGGTCCCGGAGCCTGGACCCGGAGCGGGGGATGCCTCAGTCACCACATCCACCTGGAAGCGGCTCTGAGCGGAACCGGCGCTCGGCAGAGATGGTTTCTTCTCCGACATGGATCAAAGGAGCCGGCGACAACCCGTGGAAACAAAACCTCCCGATCCAGAACCAGAGAGCATTTAAGTCCAAACTGAGCAGACACGCACTCAGAGATAAACCAGAAAACTCCCCCCAAAAATCTGACAGAACGTGAACGCTGCTGCTGTTTCCAGATGTGATCCGGGCAGGAGATGCGCCAGGACGCACGGCAGAGATCTGCGCATTCCGTGCGTAAAAGGACACCGAGTCTGTCTCCGTCCTTCTCTGTGTGTCTCTCAGATGACCCCTCAGACAGTTTATTGTCCTCTCTCTGTTTGTCTCCTCCTCTCTCTGGACTGCAGAGACAGCCCAGCACGAGGGGAACAGTGCGCAGAGGAGATGGATATCCATTACGCACGACGCTGATGTGCGTCAAAGTGGAAGGAAAGATTCTAGAAAAACATTTTTAACAGTTTTTTTAATGTGTCGTGCACATTAAACATTTAAACAACACCATTATAACCACTAAAATGTGTTTATTTCACTGTTCCCTATTTATGACTAAATAAATCTGCTTGAAGGGCACCAGCTTTCTTTTCTTTTCCTCTCTGAATGTGTGTGTGCGTAATGTGTGTGTTTGAACAAAGCCATTTGTTATCGGTTCTGGTGACACACTGAGACATTCAGAGACTGAGACCCTCATGTGGGGAGGCAGCAGCAGTATTTGCATTCAGGGAACAACAGACGCTTTCTCTGCCTGAACTCCAGAAGCTGAAGCCAACAAAAATATGACAAAAAGAAAAACACCTCAACTGATTTATGGTCAACCAATTTAAACAACAATATTACTTCATTTTATGTATTTCTTACTGAGTCAGCAATAAAAAACAAACAAACAAAGCAACAAGGAAGCTCTTCTTGTCCATCAGATTATTCAGACGATCCAAACTGTAAAGATGTTCAGCTTCTTCTTCGCGTTTGAGAAACAGCGACATCTTCTGGCTAAAACTGGAACTACAAGAACAACTAAAAAGAAGAAACTTTCCTCCACCCTCTCTCTAACCATCTGTCAAAATCACGAGTGATGGTTTGAGACAGGGGGTGAAGAAGAACATTCAAAACAGAAAAACAAACTTTAAAAGGAGGAGGAGGTCTCAGATTTCAACTTTCACAAACTGACAATGCAGCTTTAGGCCTGACTCCAGGTCAGCTCCTCTCCGCTTCACACCTTCATGCAGGTGACCCAAACATCTCTCTGTGAGCCAGGCAGATGAAGAGCCGCCTCCACTGTGCGGGGCGAGTAGTTCTAGTCTAACCTGCAGGTGGATCTAAGTCCAGAACCAGGTCTTGAGTTGTATGAAGCTGGAACTCCACACAGTCCAGACATGTTGAATTGATAAAGCTTCCTGGATGGGAAGTGAAACGTCTTCAGCTTCAGAACTGGAGTCCAGTTGTTTTTTATGTTTTTTAATTGATCATGACCTGGACGACTGAGAAACTTCACCTGCACACAAGAACAACTCATCAAAAAAGTCTCAGCTGAATTCTTCACATGAAAACTTTAGATGTTCTAAAAGGAGAAACACAATCAAATGTTAAAAACCGCATGAAGTGCTTTTAGAATCTCATGCAGCAACAAAATCATGAAGAGAGGAGCATGGAAGAACCACTTTGATGGCAGCAGACAGCATGTCTCTAAGTTTTCAGCATCTGTCTCTGCGTCAGTCGTACCTCCAGACACATCTGCAGATCTCATCCATCCCATCCCAGAGGTTGCTCACAGAACACCTGTCCTCTCTATCCTCTGTCTTTCTGTCCATGTGAGACAAGCTCGTGTCCAGAGAGCTTAAATTTCTGCATGCAGCTGCTGAATGTGAGGAGCGATGATGGCTTTATAAAGGTGGATCGCCATGGCAAGACAGCTTCTCCTGCAGAGCCACCTGAGAGGTCAAAGGTCATCCAACAGTGGTTTCCACAGAGTTTTACCCAAATTCTCCGAATCTTTTCATAAATAACGAGTCTGCTGGCCTCCTTAGATAGAGAACTTTACTAATTGGCTTTTCTATGTATGTGAATGTTTCTATAAAGTGCCCTGAGACAACTTTGCTGTGATTTGGTGCTGTATAAATAAACTGAATTGAATTGAATTGTTGTGCAATGGAGACAGAGAAAAACCTTCTTTTCAGTTTAAAGCGCAGTTTTTAAATGGATCTATGGCTCAACCCAGTCCTGACTCGCATACCTGCTAATTAAAAATATATCTTTAAAGTAAAATTGAGTTCAGTTAACACTTTAACAATTAGGTTAAATTTGTCTGTTGTAGAGTAAGTATTTATGACGGAACTAAAGAGTCACATATTAATGATCATCCCAGGTTAAAGTTACTTCAGTTAAACATCTTTCAGGTCTCATCAGCAGGTCAGAGAGGTCAGCCGAGGTCCGACCCCGGAAATAATCTGAATCCGGTGGATTCACCTCCATAAAGCTTAGGTTAAAAAAACAGCGTCCAGATAATTATTGACAAACACAAACATGATTCTTTTATGAGCTAGAGAACATTTGACATTTTGGTTTCTGTTGAATTTGTTGGGGACACTTTATTTCCTCCTTCATAAATTTATCCTGTGTGGTGAAAAGTTTTTACTCCAGTTTATAGTTTATAATCCAGGATTTTTAAAATCTTTATACCCCCTTGTTTTGCAGAGAGGGCTTAGAGTTTAATAAATTAAAGTTAATGAGACAACACTTTAAACATCTTAAGTTCCTGTTTTTTTTTTTTTACAGTTTGAAAACTGTTCTTTACAGCAGTCATGAAAATACATCTGAAAACTGACAGCAAAAATATCTGAGGTCCATTTGATGAGTGATCTCACCTCCTGTTTCAGGGCTTTGAGGGATTTGTATTTTTCTTTTATTGTTTTTAAGGCATGACTTTCAGATCCACTTGATCTGCTGGTGTAAGCTTTTTGTCAGATCTAACATAAATATAAATATTTCGTCTACTTGTTTCTTTTATATTATCATGCATAAATAATGTGCACCAGGCCAGAAGTTCTGGTTTATAAATCGGTAATAAAGCATCCTTAAAATAAATGTTTCTACTCAAGACTAAAGTCTTACCAGAAAGTTTTTCACCACTTAAACAAAACGTAAATAATTAAAAATAGCATCCCTTGAAGGAAGACGAATCACTCACCAGTTTTAAACAAAGTTCTCAGGCAATCCGTTCGCACTCAGAGCATGTGATGGGGATGACTTTCAGCTACTACAACACCACAGTTTGTCTCAATAAGATCCATTGAGTTAAAGCATTTCATTATTCAGTTGCTCGTCTTTTAATGTGGTGGTGGGCTTTGATCACGGCAGGTCTGAATCAGTTGGGATGATATTTATTAACCTTTACCAGACAAATCCCAGTGAGATCACAGATCTCTTAGCAAGGGAGGCCTGGGCCTGGAGGCAGCCTAACATATGATATTTGAAGCTTTTATGCATCACAACCGATTAAAGCTTGAATTAGTGGAACCCAAAATGACCTCATCGTGACCAAAATGCAGTTCATTTTCCAAAGAAGGGAGAAAGAATGATCACACACTTTTAAAAAGCCAAAATAAAACTTTAATTCATTTTCCAAAGTCAAATCTCTGCATTTTATTTAATAATCACGGCAGTTCTCGCCTCTGTAACAGTGAAACCTCTCACATAAAATAAAAAAGTGTCCTATTTTCTAATTAAATCATGGATGTAACAAATTCCAAAGTGTAACCTTTCTGTTCATCTAACAAACGAGGAGGCTCCCAAACACTTTTCCAAACACGGTTCTAGTTGTTCATGTTTCTGACAGTAATCTGGTCATCAGAGCCAAGAAGTACGAGTCAAAGAGAAGCTGAGGATGAAAAGGTAAAGTCCTCCCTGTGACTCAGCAGCCTTTAGTAGATTTATTTTCTTTCATTCAGCTGAAACTTCGTGGTCACTAAAGTGAAAAATGTCATGCTCTTCTTGCCCGACTCTTATTTACCTCTGAATATTTCAGCTTTAAAAACAAACGAAGGAACAACAAAAAGGCTGTTCTGATTGGTCGGCTCTAATTAAACCCCGCCCACTGCTTCAAGTTTTATTAAGTAAATAGACAAATTTCAAAATCTTATCTTGAGCAAAATGACTTGCGGGCCTTCTGGGGCAGAACCTGTTAGTTTGTAACATTTGTTCAAAATAAATTATTTATTTACAGAATGCTTACACTAGGCCTGTTACGGTAACAAATTTTGCTGGGCGATTAATTGTTTCAGAAATTATTGCGATAAACGATAATATTGTTTGAAATTTGACAATAATTATTAATTATTGTCAAATTTAAGAAGAAATGTTGGTTAATTTTTGTGTGTAGTAACTTTTTGACCACTGGATGGCAATATAAAACTGTTTTTAACCGAAAGATGGATAGTGCGGGAGCGAGCAGCGTGTCTTTAAGAAAAATGGGAAGGAGGCCCTTTGACGTGACATGGGCTGTCTCTCTTTCCTTGTTTTCGGTTCTCATAATGGTGGACGCTCGGTGTGGTTTGAGTTCTTTAGCATAGCATTTTTCGCACAAATCAAAAAAAAAATCAGTAAACAATTTCTCAGCTTCATTTTTCAGAGAAAAACAACGTTTTGGACGAAGGCACGCGTTTCAACTGTGAATTTTGGAGCTTTGACAAGACGGAGGTTTTTTCCCCCGAGGTCGGCATGTTAGCTTAGCTCGTAGCTTAGCTTCTCAGCTTAGCTGCTTTTTACAATCCATTAACGCGATTTTTGACGATTAAAACAGATTTTAAAGAGAAAAGAGAAAGGGAGGGGTCAGTGAAGAGCACCGGAGTTGAACTTTTTGTCATCCAGTGTCTTCAGTAGAAAGAGAGAGACAAAGAAACGATGAAGCCGATAAATGAAAATGAGGTTGATAGTTTTCATTTATCATGCGATTAATTGATTTATAGTTTATCGCGACAGGCCTAGTTTACAGTACCACTTCCATTTTCACATACTGGTTTTTAGAATAGTCAGG